TTTTTATCCGCAGATGTATGGTTTCTCAAGGCTCCGTTTATATTTTGGGGTAGCTCATCAGACTTAGTAGTATATGGTCTAGGATGTAGCAGTACGGCGGCATGTGGAAGTATTCTTGTCTGAAACTTTATTAAGCCATCAAGAAGCATTTCACATACTACCAGCTAAGGATAGAATAGCTGACATAAAAAGCTATTACTTTCCTTTAAACTTGAATCTCTTTAAAGAAAGTTTAATCTTTTTTCCTCACTCCTGACATTTTCCTTAAACCAAAAGACTCTCTTTGAGTTTTGAACTCATTACAACAAACAGCATTGAAACATCAGGCACCTGCAAGTAAAGCTTTGCTAAACAAGAAATAAAATAGCAATGCTGTATGCACACAGGCATGCAAAGGAAGGCCTGCAAATTCTGACTGCTGACAAGCCCATCATTTGCTTATTCAGTCTATTGTTAAGCGTTCTTATTTTGGAGAGGCTTTAGGAAAGTGGAGATGCTTTAATTCATTTTACTSTTGTAACCCTTCACATCTACCTTTTAATTTAATACATGATATAAAACCTGTAGCACTTACTTCATAGAGAATAATTTTCTTGTTTTGAAACTGTATGGAACTATTTTTATACAACTATATTATGTATCTTGTTTTGCTTGGTTTTATTCAAGGCCTTCATATTGTGAATTGCTGAGTTACAAAAGGACGTGGACTATGTCAGAAGCTGTGATTCTGGTCTCACTTCTTTTCTCCTTACATGAATATTTTTACTACTTGTAAACAAAACAGCCTTGACTTTTAGTCAGCTAGTTCAGAAGCACATTCTAGATATTTACAGCACCCTAATTTCTGACTTGACTGAGTTTTGTTTGTTGTTTCACAGCACTTTTTTTTTCCTTATTATGTAACCGTTTCTGTATTCATAAAATATAATTAAAATAAAGGTCTTGTTAAGATCTGTTTTTAAATTCCTGCATTTGTGTTTCTTATCTTTTTTTTTTTTTTTAAACTACGCACATAATTTCATGTTAACAGTCCTACTTGCCACCCCATTGTGGCTGCTTTTCCAATTTAGATTGTTCTAATACCCACAAACTACAGCCGTGACCCAAGGCCCCTTCCAGAAGTTACTGTTTTAACACAAATGCAGGTTACTCTGTGCATCCCAACTGTCCTTTTGGCACCTTACCGACCAAGCAACAGTTCGACACAAAGTTAAAACACCTTTAAACCCAAGTTTCTTTATTCTGTAAATTCCTTTTATTTTGTTCAGAAATATCAGAAATATCAGAAATATCATCCTGTGATATGATACCTCCATTACAGGTATCATCCTGTTTGTTTAAAAGCAGCCTGGCACTGTTATATCCAGTTAAATTTCATCATTGCCTTCTGTGCATGCTCTTTGGCTTCTCATCACTGACTTCAAAGTTAGCTGAAATTTTTCCAATCCATCTTTTAGTTAATAGTTTAGAATTTCCATTTCTTCCACTTAAGAAAAACTTTCRTCCATGCAATGCAATGATATCTCACGGTCAAAAAAATTATGTAAACCAACTAGTTTGGATGGAATTAACGATCAGTGAACTGAGCATTTAGATGATTAGCTACCTGATTTCCTTATGCAATCAGGTAATTAGACATCTAAATTCTAGACTTTATATTACCTGCTAATTCTTTCAGCTGACCTTGAATAAAAAATGTTGGATGAAAACCAGAGAACCTACATAAAACAAAAAGCGAGCCCTAGAGAGGTAAATTAAGATGTTTTAGTTCTTTTACTAGAAAAACCTTAATAGCTGACTAATTTCAATTCCTAGGTACTCTTACTAAAATTAGAATCAGATGAAAAATAATAAGGCTTACCATCACTCTTATTCAGATTACTGTGTCAGGTGACTGAATACACCATGATTTTGAAGTGGTCAGCCACCTGCACTCTTAACAGCATGGGTCCTTTTTCACCTTCTGCATCAAGCTGAATTTGTGTTTCTTACAGGGCAAATTACAAAGGGTATGAATTAGCATTTTTGGCAGCAGCCTCAGGAGAGAGATCAGGGGGTGAAATAGTTGTATTTTCAATGCCCAGTTCTTCCTCTAAAGATGGGACTTGTCAGTCAGCAGATCAGTAGATATACAAAAACCACTAACTGGCAGAGATCCTCCACACATGGACTAGCGGCCRGTCTTCTCATCTTCCTATACATGTGGATGTTCTGAGAAAACTGAAGGCTTATAAGCAGACTGGCCTGCTTTTTTTCTTTAAAGAAWAAAATTAGAGGCTTCTGCATGTCACATTTTTCAAAAGTCAAAGGCTGACACCAAACTGGAGCTGGATTTTCAGAGGATACTGCCCAAGCCCTTCTTAGAAGTTAATCTCTTTTGGAATAGCATAGGTAAATAGAATAGGGAGGGACATATAGTCACCAATCATTTAAAAAATGAAGGCCAGTCCTTCTGTATTCAATGTACTGAGTCTAGTGCTAATTATCTCTGAAGATTTCTTTTCAACTTGGATTCAATCTTTCCCTTTTGCTTTGAGCTCCCAGCTGCATTATTTCCACTCCTTTCAATGCTCCATTGGTGCAGCGAGTGACTCCGAGCCATGCCACATGGTTTAGTGCCACCACTAAAGCTTGTGCCGTGCCCTTCCTGCAGATTACTCTGGTACTCCAGGGTCCAAGTACCTCTCACTAGCAATAAATTCTCTCAAAAGCTGCTAATGACAACATAAAGTCCCTAAAATGCGACTGGGAACCGAGATGCTGCTCACTGTAGTTTCAAAACACCTAGACCAGATAAAAAAGATTTTCTTTTGCACTCAAATCACCAGAATTATTGTGATTTAATTATATTTTGCAATCTTTCAAATGCTATGACAATGTCACATACTTCATTACAGACTGATGATCATCTACCTCTTTGTGTTTCAATCCTTTGGAACATTATATTTTGTTCTGTTTATGGCCACCTCCCTGTTCCTGCAATGACTATAGCGTCTKAAATGTGATTTAATGCTTGTTAAGCTTCTAAGGCTGGGACATGGCTTGACTAAGCAATCTCTCCCTCCTTTTGAAGTAAAACATATGTTTAAAAAAGGTACAGTCCAATGCACAATACACTAACATCATGGACTTGATCAGGAGCATAGGAAAGTCAAAGTGAACTACTCTTTTAAGGAACCTCAACATAAAGGACAACAAGCTGGCCAAGAATCCATGGTGGCTGCAAAATGTTTTGGTGCTTGGCAAATGCTGAATTTTTGGCAAATGCTGAATTTTTAACAATACTGCAACTACAACACCAAAGTCTGAGCCGCCAGCCATTATCGCCTGTCACTTCTGCTACCTTAGTGTTGAGCTTTTCCATCGGAAAATGCTTCCATCTTTCCGCCTGTCTGCGCTAATAATGCTTTAGCTGAGTAAGACACATGACTAATCTATCTAGTTTCACCAGGGTGAAGGGACTTTACATGGGTGTGATCTTCATTCCCTGGAAAAACATACAGCACTAGACTCAAATAAAATAACATGACAGAGGAAACTTGAAGCTGGCGTTGAAATCATAGCACTGTCAAACTGTTGAGAGAGAAGTCAAGATGACTTTCTTCCCACTTACAAGCACTGCCCAAACTATAACCTTTCTCAGCATGTGAAAARGTTTGGAACTGACATTTTCTACTGTAGATACTTGTTTTCCTCTACTGTTTCCCTGAATTGTAAATATTTTAAGGGGACATAGTAGTGCACATATATATTTGTGATTACAGGAAAATTTAGCTGCACATGCCACTTGCTAAAGGTGTAGATGCTCAGYGCCTGCACATACAGATCAGCTTGCTGATGGCTGCTCCTGTTGTTTTTTAATTCAGGGGTCTAGCATGAGAGCTAGACTGTGAATACTGAGCTRTTACTGTAGTCTCACAAATGTGGCGCTGATGGTATTGATTTTTTGAAAAGATGTTTGGAACAGTAATAAAAATAAAAAATGAAGTAAGGGATGATGAGCCAATAAAATATCCACAAGAAAGTTAGTAAACTCTTGGGCTATTCAACCTTGCCAACGTCCTTTTCAGTCTGTTTCCAATGTTCTCTTGTGCTTTTAGCAGCCGGCTGCATTTGTTTCCACCACTCACAACGCCCCACCGGCTCAGTGAGTCCCGGGGAGCTACAGCACACACTTCCAGACGTTCACGCTCCACAGTCACCCTAGCGGAGCTGGAGAAGAAACGTGTAGCAGAGGACTGAAGTAAATGACAAAAGTCCTGCTCATCAGAAGGAACCTCTGAAGTCACTGGGAATTCACAACATGAAGAAGCTGTGAAGTCTTTGGGAATTCACAGGACAGAGAAGCTGTGAAGCCAGATCCCTTATCAGAGTTGGGATGGACCTCCCAAGGGCACATGCTGTCCTTTCACACGCTTTTGCACTTATAGCATTTCATTTACCCYATGAACAGGTGAAAAAAATGCAAAGCCATTTTTATTGAAAGCTTTATTATCTTATTATTTAAGCAAACACAAGATATTTTTGTGGCATAGTGGTTTGAAATAGCATGTTGATTTTTGTAATGAGATAATATATTCTACACTTTTAACTAATATTGACATATAATCATTCAGTACATCTTAAAATCAAAAAATTATTTTCCAGAATTAAACGATGCATATGCATATGCGAGCTTTCCATAATGGAAGCTCCTTAAGAAAACTGGTCCTCAGTATCTAAATATTTCATTATTTCTGATATTAGGAACTTAAACCATCTCTTTAGTTCAAAATGCCCTATATGAGGGTTCCTATCTTCATTTTTAGATCCGGTTATTACTAAAATGTGCATAAGAAACAAAAGAAATTCCTGAGCTTTGAAATTCACMTGAAATATCGAGAAAACTAAAATCAATTAAAAAGTTCTCTAGGAGCCCTACCATCCATTCTGCTGGAAGCAGTACTCGCTGTCTTTGATTGTGCTTTCTCTTCCTCTCTATATAAATCAGTGTTTTAAATCTATTCAAATAACCTCCGGAGAAAGGATTTTTTCACTGATGTTAACTTTATGGCTTTCTTCTTGCGCAGTGGTTTCATGGGTTGCTTTTTCAGTTGCCCTACCTTCTTGGGAGTTTGGAGCCCTTTGTTAAGGTCAATGTGCTCATTGCAGAAGTACTTGATGTTTGCTTCTGACAGACGCAGCAGCATGGTCTCGGACAGGTCCATACATTGCGCGTGGACCCAGTGGCCATCCCCACTGGAACACAGGATCATTGCRGGCTTGTTGAGCTCTGTTGAATAGAAAGGGACCCAGGTGTTAACGTCAACATTGCAATGGGCAGAGCAGGTGATCCAGTAGCCAGTTTCTGATTCGTCTTCCTCATCATCTTCATTGTAAGTGTCATCAACATCGAAGCTATTGGCTTCTGCACTAAAACAAAACTCTTCTGAATCTTCAAAGGGAGTGGAGTCTCCTGGGTCTTCAGTGGATGTCTGACTGCAAGTTTGGGCTGTCAGTTCTTCCTCCTCATCCTCTTCTGCTTCTCTGCATCTCAAAATGTAGAAGTAGTTTGCATCTGAGATCATCTGTTTGTTGTCCCCTGGAATGCCCAGCAATATAGACCCTTTGCCCATATCACAGCCAAACCACATTCGGCAGTGTTTAATATCTGGTGTCCAGAGTGGACTCTCCCTTTCAACAATCTCTATCTTGTTATCTTCTAAAATTAGGGTGTTACAAACCAACCTTTTCTGGTTTTCAGACTGATAGCCCCCGACAAGGACAAACTCGGTGTCACTAGTCTGAGTCACAACAGCACTCGACACAGATATCCCCCCTGGCAAGATGGTGCAAGTCACAGCTGGGCTGCCCAATGGGAGATCAACTTTTAGCTTGTATAAGCTGGGGGCCCTGATATTATTTTGAAGCGAATGACCGCCCAAAATATAGATTGTATCATTTCTGGCAACTGAAACATGGAAAGAAAGTCCATCTTGAAGCTCTGGAAGTATGTATGATGTACAGCATCCAAACTCAAAGTCAACCAGAAACACAGATGGCAAACAGTCAACCACACTATTCCATTTTTCAGTGGTTCTTTGTTCAAGAGGAACGTATGATCTACCTCCAAAAATAACACTCATGCTCTTACCTCGGCTTTGAACTACATTTATTGTATGCCCATATCTTGCTTCAGGAACATCACCAGCCAGGTCTTTCTCAATGCATTTAAACACAGATTTCCTGCTACTTTTGCTTACAAGATTCATTATGTAAATCTTATCAGAAAGATCATTGTTAGGTGTTTTCCCACCATGAATGATATACTGGTGATAATCGGACTCTGTGTTGTCTCTATAAGTACAAATAGCAGGGTAACGGAGAGGGGGAAGATAACAGGAGTCCTTGGAGAAGACTGCTGGTTTCATTTTGAGTTCATTCTGTTTTATATCGAGGAGGAAGACACCAGTGGGACAGGATCTCTTTGGCCATCCTTTCTGCCCGAAAAAGTAAACATGCCCATCAAAATTCAGCAGGGAAAAGCCTGGCTGAAGCAAGGATGAGTTACTGACAGATGACACCATCTGCAAGGACATTACACCTGGTGGCTGGGTCATATTATGATCAGTGTCTGCAAAAGAAACACATGAAACATGCTTTAAAAATGTGAGAATTTAAACTGACAGCAGACTGGCTGTGTTTTCTTGAGGAGCTTGTATCAAGTTGGCAACTCAGTTTTCCTGTTAAATGGGAATATTGATACTTACTAAGCTTTGCAAGGCAGCCAGAAGCCTAGAAAAAAGAATGTCTCCTACCACTTATGAGAGAATTGAGCTTCAGCTTTGGGGAATACTGTAAAAATTCAGGATTGTTGGGCTTAAAAGTGACAACTCTTTGTGCTTACAGCTGCTGTGCCAGAGGCCACCTGCAGCACAGCGGGAATATAAATGCCCAGGAAAGAGGAAATGTTCCCAGAAACYATGCTTTCGTGAATGTCTTTTTCCTTCTTTTTTTTTTTGGTCTTTCCAAGCAAGAGGGCAAGACCCACACGCGCTGTATGGTGYTCCCAGCGGCTGCTGCCAACTTGCTGCTCCATGACAGCTCTGAGGAGGTGCTTCACAGCAATTATTTGCCTTGTTTTAGAAGAAAACAAAAGTGGAAAGAAGAACAGAAAACAAAACAAAAGAAACAAAAAGCAGAAGAGAAAGCGGCTCTCCCGAGGCCTCCGCCGAGCCGAGGCAGCAGGCCAGGCCGGCGGCCGGCTCTAGGCCCCGGCGGCTCCATGGCAACGGCGGCCGCGGGGCCTTGTGGGGGCCGTAGTCCTGGCGGGCGGGCCGGGCCCGGCGCGGAGGTGAGCGGGGCCCGGGTCCGGAGCCCGGGCAGGGGCGGCGGGGCGGCCCCCCAGGGCCCCACGAGGCCCGCACTGCGCTGCCCCGAGCGCCTGGCCCTGCACGGTGCCCGGGCCGCGGGCGGCGGGTTGCAAGSGAGCAGGCCACGGGCAGCAAGGGCTGCTGCGCGAACGGGGCGGGTGGCGCGGGCTGCCGTGCGCTCTCCCCCAGCTCGGGAACGGGCGTATCGGATGGGACTCTCACTCCGCGGCCAGTCGGACATAAAAGAGCTGGAGTGTTTTTCAGGGAGCCTGTGCACTGGCAGTGCTCGCAGCAGAGCCCGCGCTGCTGCTGGCGGCTCCTTTGGGGGCTCCGGCACATCACATCTCTGCGTCCACATTGTACCCAGAGGGATGGACATGGCGCCGCGTGCTCGAASGAGAGGGGATAATCCAGGAAGGTTACAGGGGAAACCTGGAAACCCAGGAAAGGAAACCTGGAAAAGCCTGTGCAGGAAGCAAAGAAATGATTTGGTTGTGGTGCAGCAGCACGGAGAGGGCCAAAGGCAAGAAATAAAGATGGATAAATAGACATAGGTGGAGTAATAAAAACAGCTACCAGTTACGGTGACCTCAGTCGTGCTACGTATCAGCTGWTTATGAAAGATGGAGCTGCAAGGATCATATGCATAAGTGAGGATCACAGTGTAAATTTAACAAGAATACACTTTCTAACCCCTGCATTTGAGAAGTAGAGATCTGACCTAGGGCTAAATGAGAGAAGGAAACTTAACATTCTACCCTGTTTTCTTAAAACTAAGCTAAGGATTCTGTGAGTGCTTTTTTAGTTAGCAATTGTCTATACAGCAAAAAGACAATTACAATGAATCATATTTAGATAGTTTTGATGGAAGAGCTATTTACGGGAGGATCAAATGAAGAGAGAAGTAGCTTCTACGTGCACTAGCTAATATGATTTGAAATGCCTTGTAGTGATTAGTATGGAARCAGATGGGCGTATTTAAAATCATGATGGGGAAGGGATTAGTTTAGAAACTGGCTTACTAGTATGTCAGCTCATATGTCTTTGTCTTTTTATAAATCTTCACTAGAAATTATGGGATGAATGGGTTTTAGACATTCAACAAAGAGTAGATTCTTCAGACAACAAAGAGTAGATTTAGGAGCCTGAACATCAGGTGTCATTTCATGTACTGCCTTGTCTTCTAGCTGCTGCTATGGAAGGCTGCAAATCTCCCATAGGACCTGTGTCCTAGGTCCTAGACTATTTAGGAATGGTAAAATGTCCTTAGGTTCCTATGTTTAGGCACTGAGTGACTCCCAAAGTGTGTTTCTAGCTTACTGTTCTCTTTGATCCTATGGAGTAATTGTTTGGTCTTCAGTGTTTTGTGCCGTTTCCTTGATTAGGCCACAAAAGCATTTTAAATGGGAAAACAGGGTGTAATCAATATTGTTGTTTAAACTGACTTTTCATATTATCGTTTATTTTGTGAATATTAAAAAAAACTATATTCATGACAATTTCACAACTGCTAGAATGCTACTGTATAGTGTATGATTTGATCTTATGAACTGTAGCAAACCAAAAGTACCTTTCAGTTAAAAAATATGCTATTGAAACAACTCTGATTAGATACTCTAAGTAAATGGATTATAGGATAACATGGAGTCTTGTAAATACTCATTGCTGTCCATCAAATTCTGTCCGCAGTCAGCAGTTACTTGTAACGTGGCATGAACACACTGTGGAATTAAATTTATTTTGCAATATTATATATTTTTTCTTTTTCTCTGATCTGCAGGGTATCCTTCTACAAAAGGAAAAGWGCATACCCCTGAAAAGCATCTCCCAAATTCTTCACAAAGAAAATCCTATCCAGACACCTGAAGAACTTTGAAGTCCTCCATGAAAAGAGTTAAGAAAGTAAGTTTTTGTACAGTATTTCTCAAAACATTTGCTGACTATCAATCAAGTTTGCTTTGAGCAAAACAGTAAGTTAGACGTACCTGGTTGAAAGAGGGTTTTTGCGTCCTCCGAAATCTTTCTATGTAATTGGGATTCAAATGTGAGCACTTTGAGGAATCTTCTCCGACTGCACAGGGGGGTTGTGGCTTAGAGAGGCCTGCCTGATGCAGGGGAATCTATCTGCTTAATTTGCAGATGTGCTCCTGGGAACTCAGTCTGCTGTGGCTAACTGGCTGCAACCGTTTTCGTTTTTCTTTCCTCTCTTGTCTTCAGATGGCATAACAAGGAACCCACCACTGGCTTTAGAAGATTTAACTCTTTGAGGTAGACCCAGACAAGAGTGAAAGTAGATGTCTGTTACTTAGATTGTAAATGGCTTGCAGCTTGCGCTCTTTTTTATTTTATTGCTAATCATTGCAAAACTTGGCAAGCCCCCAATCTTTATAGTTTTGATTTTTTCAGTGTCACTATAATATAAAAATAAAGCCTCAAGTAATTTTTGAGTTCAAATAAAGCATAGTTCCAATAWCTGCTAAAGAAAAATAAACCCACGTTGTATGGATTACTGTACTGCTTTTCTAAAAATTCTCGCTGATAGGTAGATTGGGACATTGAAATAGAACAAAGGAAATGACAAATGCATGCAACCCAATGAGTAAGGACTGAATGAAAGTCTAATCTAAAGTCCACTGAAGTCATTAGAAATGTTTTTTTTCCTTACTTCAATAGCCTGCTGATCAGACTTGAAAAGAATAGTAATACTTTGCACCTTTCTGTGGCATTTTTCATCAGTTTCACAGAGTTTATTTCCAAGAAAAATAATTAGACTCCTAAGTCCTCTGGGAAYATATCCTTTTGACAGCTAGCAGTGCAGGGCACAGAGGATAATTCACTTGTATTACGTAACACAGTAAATAAATGGAAGAAGCTGGAAAACAACTTGCTTTTCATAGCTGCCTGGTTTGGTGTCCTGGCCTTACTTCACCTATCCCTGAATTACAGCATCTGCTGTGTAGTATTTTCGAAAGATCTCATCTTCCATTTGAAGCTTCACTGAGAATATAAATAAGGAGATATAGAAATGAAATTTGATTAGTAAAGGAAAGCAAACATACTGAATGTTTGTGGAAATTGTCTTGAGACCTTTAAAAACTGTAATGTAGAGAGGATGTGGTGATGTATCTCATCTGAAATACAATAGCTCCAAGGCACTGTGTCCTATAACATTCATATGGGCCTGATATTATTACTGATACAGGATAAGAGTAGACTCTAGTTGCAGTGTTCAGAGCCAAAGAACTTCCATCACATGTAAGGGTGTTCAGATCAGGTTTGTTTCTGTTTCTAGTAGTGCCTAGATGATATTTGGCAGCTTCTTGTCCAAGTGCTTGACATAGTCTAATCCTTGTTAGAGTGTCTGATCAAARGATCTGCTGGCAGAAGATGTAGAAATGTTTAAAGCAAAAAAGTCTCCCCCTTTGTGTCTCATTTAATATTTAATATTTGTTTTATTCTTCTTCTGCCAGTTAACATGTCTTATATTTAGAAATTCTTTTTTCCAATTACTTCAGATGAGAGGACAGAAAAACTAAAGTTTGTTGGCAATAGCATGTCAATTTTGGATGGGGAAATGGTCTGTCCAAGCTGGTTTCCAATAACCAACAGCGATAAAACGCTTTGGAGGAGCTGCAGCAAGTAGCTTTGGAAAGGCAGAAAAATCATGTTCAGAACTGCCCAGTTTATAGCAATAACACCTAGGATTTGCATCCTGAATTTATTTGGCAGTGRGCCCATGCAAAAATGTATAAACAGATAGACCTTTTTCTTTACAAATTGTATTTTAAAAACATTGACATAGGTGGTCTGTTTCCAAGAGATTGCTCACTGTCATGGAAATGCTTTGTCTCGCTTCATTTTCTTCTGCAGTTAATTACTAAAAATGATATGTGGTTTACATTTTCTTCATTGCAAATCATTCCAAATTGCATTCAGATATTTCCAGGCTTTTCAGCATATTTGCTGCCAGTAAAGCAGAGTCATCTCTGAGATGTAACTTAGCTGGCTCACAGTAGATTGCAGTAACACGTTCCAGTTAGGCAGAGAGAGGGAAGGCCACCTTGTTTGTTTGCCTAAGTTTAGCGAGCCAGAATGTAAATGTTCTGCTGGAAATTTAGCCAAGACCTACAGGCTGCAACCTGTGAAAAATGGCACAGAGAGTCTTAGAGTCTTCAATTTTCTATCTTGTCTTAAAACATCAGTATACAATTTTTAACATGTGAGTGACCTTGTTTTTTTTGGAAGCCTCATCTAAAACAGTTGATTAAATCCAGCTGTACTTTGTACAATGAAGGAAGATCACACTCCAGGGGACAGTGGCTACTGTGTTCCAGAACTGAGTTTGGTGCAAGGGAAATGTTACCCTTGGCATAGGGCACTGTGTGGTCTTTAAAGTGGGCAGTACCCTTGAAGCAAATGGAAATTCATGAAAAACAACTGTCTGATCATGCACAGGACTGAGATAGTAGTACCATAATCAAACAAAATCAATTAAAGCCTGTGGATATATCCCTTAAAAGCCCATGCTAGTTGCGCATGAAAGGCACATGGTTTTGACCACGGCAAAGGTCAGCTTTGAGGCGCAGTAATGCACTTATGTGAGCAGATGCAGCTCCTGTTCAAGCAGATTGCTGATGCACTAAGCGTGCGCCCTCGGGACCCGCTGATGGCAGCAGCAAACATCCAGTTGATCTAAACAGGACTGGAATTAGACCTTTAGCCATCGCAGATCTCATTGAATTGAGAGATGCTGCAAGTAACATCACTTGAAAGTTTTTGTCCTTTGTAAGTGAAACATCTTCTGTTTACATTTTTTTCCCATAGTTCAGTTGACCTGCACCTGCTCATGACAGGAGCTTTCTACTGCAAGGTTAGCTCTGGGAGCTGCTGTTGAGCTGCAGGTGGTGAGTGAGGTGGGGGAAAGGAGAGAAGTAGGGCAGGACCRTAGAGCAGGGCGGCTTTGCTTTTGCAGCCTGTAGCTTTGCACATGTCAGGGTGACAAGCGGCAACACTGCCAGGAGAGTTACCTGCCTGCTAGAAGTTGCCTGCCTGTCTGTGCTGCCCCACACAGGACACTTCCTGCTCCTTCAAGATGCTCCCCAGCTAGCTCCTTTTACTTGGTCCATTTCCAGGTGCCACCCTGGGGTGTTTGTTAAGATATGTGAGCATAGTCCATACTCAGCAAAAACATATACCAAAGACAGGCTTCTCCTTTGTTTGAGCCCCAGCTGTGCATGGCCTCCTTTTCCCACAGTGGCTGAAGAGCTGCTGATAGCAGCTGCAGCGCTTGCACAGGTATGCGTGCCCTGATAGCAGCTGCTTCTGCTAACGTGGAAGAAGGCAGCTTGGGGGCTGTTTGTGAGCCCTGTTTCTGATGAAGAGCTGCTTTCAGAGTTGCATAAACAGATAGGACCTGCTGCCAAAAAAAAAGGCAATCCTGCATCTCTACTGTGCTTCTACTGCATGTTCCCACTGAGCCCTTGTGTAGGCACTAGTGATCTTGTGGCTGTGCAGCACATTAGAAAACACATGTATTTAAAAAAGGACATATGTATTTGCCCAGTTTAGTTTCAGTTTTTAGGTGGGTTATTATTTTATCTGACCACAAGGGTGGGGAATTAATCACCAGGGAATGGAGAAGGAAAGATGGTTGTGCTGCCCATTTCAGGAGCAGAAGGTACTTGGGTTTAAAATAATTTTGACTCCATAATCTTCTCATGCAAATTTACTGTGTTTGCACAGAAATATGATACTACTGCTTTTTTTTTTAATTGCTGTAATATTGTCGAAAATACTAATCTAGCATCTTCTTGACTCAATGGTATGTTAAATGCTGGTAAAATAACTGAAGATAGAAATCAGATTTCCTCCAGAGCCTTTTCTCCAGAAACACTAATCCCTGCTCTTCAGACTGAACTGATAACAATCTAGGACCTAAGACACTCCCTGGTAATGTTGCATATGTCTATTAAATTAGTCTCCTTGAGCAAGTTATTGAGAAATACATGGGTGTGTGTATATATATATGTATATATATCCCTGTCAAAGGATAGATGGGATGATACTTTTGGTACTGCTGCCTGGTGGGCAGGGTTGGGCAGGCGACTGTAATGTCCACAGTCATAGCCTCCTTTCTCACCAACCCTGAAGGGGGATGAATCTGTACCTGGTCCCTTGAGATATTATTGCATTCTTAAGACTTGCCTGTGCCCAAGCYGCATTGCCTAAGAGGTCACCCTGCTGAGGTATTTCCTCACTGCCTTCCCCTGCCCTCTGCCTTACTGGTGATAACAACTTCCCTTCCCTTCTGGCTGAACCAGCCAGGCCAAAAGAGCCCCTGTAATGAAGATATCTCTTGTTCAGACCAAAGCTTCAAAGCTCTAAGGATGAGAGGTGTTAAAGAAGTGTTTGTTGCTGGTTTGGTATTGTGGGTTGTAAGATAGGGTTGCTTTTATGTGATGTTAGTTAGATCTGAGATGTTAAAGACTCTTTTGAAAAAAGTAGCTGTGACAGGTGTAGTCACTATAGCAGCTGTGCAGGGGAAAGGATGAGGTGTTGTCCAGTGCTGGCACGGCGTAAAATGTCACTGGAATGGAGCTGAGCTGAATCTAACTTACACACACATAGGTTACMAAATCCTGGGAACATTGGATATATTAATCTTTAACATTTTTAACATGTGCAAACAGTGATCTGAAATAAATGAATACATGTTCCTGAAAAACCTTAGTTTTATTGAGAATGACTTTTAATAGAAAAGCTCATAGTATGGAAAGCTGAATTTAACCTATGCCAGAATTCTTAGTATATATTTTTATGAATGCTACTACCATGTAAGATTTTGGTGAGTTTGTAGAGATGGGCAGTTTACTGTTCTTTCAGCTTAAAAATCTAAAACCTTGATTTTGCTTTCATTACCCATATGTTATTTAAGTGAAATATAATAAAGCACTCAAAAATGCAGTGTAAAACAGGAAGCTGATGTTCCGCCACATTTTTCATTGTGTAATAGAATTAATAACTGTGTAATTGAAATCATGCTAATACTCAGTTGACCTGCCTCTGTGATTCACTGCAAAGATTTCTGGTGTGGCTTAAACTGCTGGGAAGATGACTGCATTTTGGGAAATAAAATTGATTTTGCACAATCTGCTGATGATCAGCAAAGCTTAATGAATGATCGCCTCAAGAAACCTCATTACAGTAATTTGGATGGATGAGCAGGATTTAAATGCAAAAAGACAGTATAGTTGCTACTTGAATGCATCGTTTAGTGATATTTGGCTGTAAAACTCTTCAGAGCTAACACAGGGGAAGGATCAGATATCCCTACTGGCTCTCCTTGAAACCTCTGAGTTACTTTGATACCTCTTGGGAGAAGGAAGCTAAGTTCTTGATTTCAGGGGTAGTTACTCCCTAGGAGAACAAGACAGTCATTTCGTTCTTACAGGTTTGGTTGTGTCCAGTTCATAGGTTAGGGATGATTTTAATCCACTATTTTAAATGAAAAGAACCTAGATTTTTGCCTTTCTGTAAAAGTTCAAAGAAGTCATTGCCTTGATGCTGTGAACCTGATTGATGCAGCCTTTTTTTTTTTTTTTTTTTTTTTTTTTGTGGTGCTCTCTAGCAAAGGCTCCCGGTGAGCCTGCTTTCAGGAGATCATGGCACAAAGCTTCTCAGCAGCTGACACAGTATGGTGTTCATAGGCTCAGGGATAAAGTAGGTGGGGAACAGCAGAAAATCAAGTTGGAAGGAAAATCAAAACTGCAACAAACCTTGAAATGCTGAGATAAGTTGCTGAACACATCTCTAGTACCATACAGCCTAGACATATGTTCAGTTTAGGAATAGTGGATGTTCTTCAAATACCAATAACTATGCTTGCTTTGATCTAGAGTGACAAAACGGCACCCTGCAGTTCCTCAGAGTTCCTCAGTTCCTCAGAGAGTTCCTCAGAGAACAGTTGGGACAGGTAGTTCTAGCAGTACCCTTGTGTGAGTTAAATGGGTGTTTGTCCGATGGAAACTAGCCTGTCATTAGGATCTGTTGGTTCTTCCTATCTGTGCTCTCCAGACTTCTGCAGAGGTAAAATAGAACATTATGGCAGTGCAAGAGAAGGTTAGATCTGTGCTGGACTGTCAGTCCTTCAGTTGCAACAGAGACAAAATGAACAGACGGATGCCAGTAACACAATTTGGGTTTGTTTTTCTCCCTTCTTTTTCAATTTAGGATGTGTCAAAGAACAAGTAGTTAAGCGAACCCAAGTTTCAATGTGTTCTTTGTGCTCTTCAGAACAAAAATTAAGGGAATGTGGCATACAGATTGTATGTTATTTTATTTCCTTTATCAAGATGTCTTGACATATTAGTGTCTGCCTTATATTATTGTCAGCCTGTAATAACTATATTGACTGTAGGGCAGTTGCTCAGGGCGGAGTGCTTTGACTTGGATGAAAATTTGGTCCCTTCCTTGGCAAAAAAGTTGCCAGTTTGGAGAAAGCGATCTTTATCTATGCTTGGAAACCCAGGGAATTTTCTCAGCTATTTTTTAAAAAAGTAGCACTGGAAGTTTCCCCCAATGCGTATATTTTGAAGTGCATGCTAGGGGGAAATATGTAGGCTCAGTGAAATATATTACTGTAAAACCTTTGGGATAACTTCCTCTCTAAAGTAGGTCATGAGATTTCAGATAATAAATATTGGATTATATTCTGAGGGCATCCAGTACTGCTTTTTTATGAGGCTGATATTCAAGATTTTACAAATGTAGTTTTTCTACACTTTGTCAAGTTGAATTCAGCACTGCAGTTCCTAGCTAACTGTAGCAAGTCAAAACATGGTGTTTTTCCAAAKTGCACACCCCTCTGAGCTTAACCAGAAGGGGATGTTAAAACCTGAAGTAAAGTTTCCCAGATTGTGCAGAAAGTAGAAGCTGGGCAGCTGAGTGAAAATTCAGCTGAAAAAATTTGCTAAAACTTTAATCTGGGCACTAATTCTCAAATTGATGCTCAGGTGGCTGTGAAATACAGCATTCACTGAGAAAGCTGGTGTTGTGTTTGGATAATGAGGCAAATATTCTCCCAAATTGCCTATGAATTTTCTAGCCTACTAGAACATTTTAGAGTAAGGGAACCTAAGCTGTATTGGCAGCCCTCCTCTGATTTGTTATTAAGTCATTTAAACTCTCTTTGACTCAATTATAGATGAGAAAACAGAATAATATTTGTTTGCTCTTCCTCACAGGACTACTGTGTTGTTTCAGTAGTGTTTATGAAAGACTTGGAGAGCCTACATGCCAGGTGCCACAGAAAAACAAAAAGTTGCCATTACCATTAGTCTTGGTTAAATATATGGAGAGATATATATGTTTTTTTCCTTTGATGGTAGGCTTACCAATCACTACAGTCATTCATATAATGAAATGTACCTCAGACAGTGCTTCTGATAACTGCACAGTAATGAGGAATAGGAGGGCATTGCTTCCCTTTGAAACAACCATAATTTGCACAAACCACTCTGARTGTCTACTAAATGATATTTTGCTTGGTCACTCCACAGAGAGATTGATACTGGCTTATTTTTGATAAAATATTAAAAAACTTTTTAAGCATTAGGTCATGTGTGTGTACATGTGTTTTTGTATCTTCAGAACATGAGCCTTCTTCATGATGTGTCAGTCCAACAGAATTAGTTTGACATTGGAAATCATGCTTTCTTTTCCTGCTAGRCCCTGAACATTTCTTGATCGATTTTACTTAACTTCTTAAATAAGCTTGACAGCCCTTTCTTAGTGTAGCTGATCTGCAGTTTTGCCGAGGAATTAAGCTTACATTCCCAAAAGACACTTTCTAATGCTGTGATAAATCAAGGCAAGAAACATGGGGACACATGAAAGCAACCACTAAGTGTATAAAACATTCTTGCGCTGTTATCAYGGTTAATGTGTGCAACTAGTTGTTTACATATTTTTAGTTAATCTGCCACTGTGTGAGACACCTGTGTTTTAAGGGTTTGCCAGTTATGTGTACTCATGCCCTGGCCTGAGTTTTCTACTTCCAGGAGCCTTCCAGGCTCTATATAAATGAAAAATCAGTAATGTTATTAAGTATTAAACAATGTTAACAACAGCATTTACACAGCTTTTACAAGTGTTGGGCAATGTTAACTTCGCTGACAGCTCTTTCAGGGCCATTACTTCCCTTATAGTCTGTTGAAGTAATTAAGATCAACTGCAAAGCTGTTGCTGACTGACTGCGGAGTGGAGCTTTCAAGTGAAGAAAAGCATCCACAGTGTTCCTTCGGCTCCCAACATTTATTCCATTGGCAAGATGGGATCTACGCTTTTCTGTGCAACTGCCTCATTCCATCATACCCTCTGTCCCCTGGGCTGTCTCAGTGCACACACACGTCAGCATGATTTAATGTGTCCCTCTGAAATCTGGGTTTACTGCCTTTGACGGTAGAGTGAACAGTGCACCTGCAAAATGATGGACTCAGTCCAAACTCTGAATGTACAGGTGTCCCAGTCATAAAATCCAGCATGTTGGTGAGTGTTGTCACTGTTTTGACAAAGAAAGCAGGGGACTGACAGGTTGTAAAACTGAACAACTTAAAATCAGGGGGAAGGAACACTGCTGAGAGAGATCGGCACTTCTGTGGTCCACATGCTACTTGAGAACATAAATTCTAGTCAAGCATGCTGCCAATCTCTCTCTTTACACTTAAAATAACTATGTTTCCTGAAATGTAGGGGAAATTGTTGTATAAAATCCTGATGAAAGAGATCAGGCCTTCACAAGGAAAGAAGAAAAATCAGATATTCATTGTGTGAACTAGGGATTCTTCAGTTAATTTTTTTTCTGCCTTCAAAAATATATGGTTCTTTCTTTTTTATTGCAGAAGGAGCCTAATAAAGCTGATCTTGACTATCAAGGTTGTGGATCATGGAGGAAAAACTCCTAAACAACAATATCCTTGATCAATTTATTAATAGCCATGAGCAGTCCTATGAAGAATTTCTAAATACATTTACCTACCTTTTGAAAGGTAAGAAGATACCATTAGAAATTACAGAAAGAAGAGAAAGTAAAAAGAGAAGCAATGTTATTTACTGTCATTCTGCTATTCACTTGCTCTGTGACCTCAGGCAAATCCTACACATGTCTTTGCTTTTCCTGTCAGCAGTGGAATCCGTAACAAGTGGCCTGAATTTGCTAAGGAGACTGCTAAGGTATGGCTCAAGAGGTGGTTAACATAGCAAATTACAAATCTTTGTGAGCCACATTTTGCTTATTTTGGAAAGGTGGAGCATTGTAGACTATCTGGAAATACAGGTTGGGCTCTTCCTAAGTAAATCTTGCATCATTTTTCTAAGGAAGCATCCATGAAAGAGGAAGAGCATAATGAACATGGGTAGGTAGCAGTACAAGACGGCCTGAGGCTGGGGTTGTGCAATTTGAATACTTTCATTGAATTATTGACGTGGGGCTGCTGTACTACACTGTGGTATGCACCAAACTGGCTGTACAGATAACTTGGATGAAGAAACATCAGATTAGGGTGATTAGGCTGAAAAGGTCTCATGCCTTGCAGATGAAATGAAAGTATTAAAGAGGCGAGGGGTCTTAATGCTGAGATGAAYATTGCTGAATTATAGGAAGTTTAGATCAGTACCCCAGTTCTGTAGCTCAGGTTCATTTCTACTGGCCACATTAAATCAGAAGTAATAAAAATGAATGTGAGTTACATATTACCCAGTTATAATTCTCTTGACCGCAGCTAAGTCCGTTGCACTAAGAATGATGTCCTCATTCCAGAAGCACTATATTTTCCAATTACATGATGCGCCACGCTCCATTGATTGGCACTCAGAACTCTGTCCTGTCCTTGTCCTTCAGGCAGAACTAAGTGTCAGTCACAGGCACTGAGCAGAAAACCGGTGGGGGAGTGGAAGCTGCCATAGAAATAATCTCATGGCAGCCTTCTGTCTCTACTCCCAATAAAAAACAAGGAAAAGAAAAGAGGCACTGGGGGATCAGAGGACTGAAAATTAGGTTCCAGTCTTCTTTATGTATGATTGATGCACTGGGGATAGCTCCTATCTTAAAAGCATACTGCACGTTATGATGGAACTTGCAAAAAGCCTCAGCATGTAGTTCAGTTGCTTTGATAGTCACTACAGCATTGCCACTGAGAGTGTATGTATAAAAGGTGTAGTTTTAGCGGAATTAAATACCAAGAAATACACCTTTCTGTGCTGATATAGACAAAACAACTTAGATTGTTTTCCTCCTATCTTCATTTTCCCTTAAAAATACCCAAGGGCACTGGTTTGCACAACAAACTAATGGCCTGCAAAAATTCCACTTAAAGCACAAGGCATTTTAGCATCAGAACAGTGCAAAAACACCTGTAAACATATCACAGTATTAGTTTACATATTTTGCATTTGAAAAAATAGTCATTTGATTTTCAGCAAAATAATTGAGATAAAACAACAGCCTTAAGAAGGCTGTCTGTTAATAAGCTGCAGAACTTTTCATTTTCGTGTCAGGAGTTCAGCTACCTACTGTAGGGTAAGTTTGTGGTTCTGTTTATTATATATATAAAAAAAAAGACCATTTTTGGGCTAGCTTTTTGAATTTGGCCTGATAATAGTGTAGATAAACAGACTGCATCTTTGCATGATGTGCCTTAGTATTAGAATATGCATTTGTGCATAATTAGGTATGGAGAGTCTTGGTATTTACAATTAACCTACATGTCTGTCAGGCTTGGGTGTAAACATATATGGGGCATTTAAAATAATTCCTTGAATATCTTCACCATCTGACTGAGATTTTTGGCTGTCATAGTGCTGGAACCAGAAGAACCACATATAATTAATTGGATCCCATTTATTTCACAGCTACCGTATTTATATAAGGTGATTTTCACTTATGCATGAATTTGTACTAATTCCCTTGCTAGGGATTGTAAGGATATTTGCACCAGAAGTTTTTTCATTGCTCTGCTCAGCATCTCACAGGAATCTGAACTTCCAACCACTGTTTATTTTTTCTTCATTTCTTATATTCACACAGAATGGAATTGAAAAGAATACATACTTCAAGTGTAATAAAACAAGCATCTTTGTCTATTGTGGAATATATGGAAAGAGCTGTTTGAGACTATGAATGTCAGCTTGGAATATCCTCCCGAAAGATCCTCTACTGACACAATATTCCCATTCTTGTAAATATGGAAAAATGAGTTTTAGTGTACTTTTGGATCCTTGAATTTATAGGCTTTTAAAGGATTGCTTACATCCTATAAAAGAAAGTCTGGTTTTATAATGTCTCTAAATATATGAATGTGTGTCACTACGTTTGACTATTCTAGAGAGTAGGAATAGAGATCCTGCTCTTTGGGTAAAGAGAATATTGCTTTAGCTCTAATGGAACAAAATTTGGAGACAAAATAAAGTAATTCAAAACTCTGTGTAATTTATTTAGTGATATGCACACAGTTTAGTACACAGATACATAACTGTATCTTTGAAATAAGAATTTACTCTTCCTGACATTGGTACTCTTATGAAAGTTACTATTTGAATCTACTTCTTTTAAAATGTGCTTGTTGTTGTGACAGAAAGGCAGATTTATTGATGGGTAGCTCTTATAGTAAGGCTTTTACCTCACTTCTACAAGATCTGTTAAAGATAGGTGGTGAATAAACTTACTTAAAGCATTTATATTCCTGCAGAACATGGTCTATGTGTTTTAAATGCATAACATTTAGAAAATATGGCAGCACTTTTTACCTCATTGGTAAGAATTTTAATCATTTTTATTGATCATGTGGGGAATCTACACTTGAAGCTTAGGTTCAAATTCTTGTAAATCCTATAGTTTTCCTGTGCACAGGATGCAAAGTATATTTTTTGTTGAAAGGCTGGTACTAACAAGATGCATAGATATGTGAAAAGGTTGGCACACCTATTGTAATATTAGCTAGTTGAGCACAAGACCAAAGGACTGCAGTTTTCATGCTCTCTGTAAAGCTTTGCAGAAGCTTGAAGTTTCTGGAGAAAAACTGACCATCTCTTTTGTGCAAACACAGAGCAAGGATGTTCCACAAGAAGAATAATTTTATTAGTCATCGATTTTTAACACATTTCTTTTTGTTGCCCTACAGAATCACTGCTCTTATGCCTATGTCACGTTTTGTATTTAGTTTTGATAGTTTGTTCATTTAGCTTTGAATAATCTGATAATAAAACAGATGATTGGCATTGACTTTGAAGTTGTCTAACTCTCCTATGCTGCTAAGTCAAAAAAAATATCTTACAAGTGATGTCTTGAATGTGCAGTTGGGTTATCTCTTGACCCTTCAGTCTTGGGAGCCCTAAGAGGCTCAGAAGAGTTGAAATAACAAAGAAATTGATGCCGAGGGTACGTATAGCTGTGATCAATGAGTGGGCTCCTCAGCACTACACACTACTAAGGCTACTTTGGGCACCAAGTCCATTTGACATAGACTCAATCCCCACTTCTTAAAATATTGCCACGTTAGTCAAAGAAGCTCGTTCAGATCTTAGAAAGAGTGAAATGTGGTGAAGAGAACTCATCCAAAATTAGCAGACAGCATCTGCTTGTTTTTCTAAATTGAGAGGAAGATTGGGTAATTCCCTGGAGCATAAAATACCTCCTTTGACCTTTTACAGGAAATACAGAGAAAAATAAAACAGAGCCCAGGCAATTGCCTTTCTCCCATTTCTAGAACTACGAGACCCTGAAGTCAGTCAGCTGCATACAGAAATGCCTCCAGGAACATAATTCTTCGCCAAGTTTAGGTTCAGAGTTTTTCCATGTTGCTGAGCATTTAACTGCTGGGATTAAATCCAGCAGTTCCATTGTCTATATTTCAAATACCTCATGCTGCCTGGCACTGACTTTGGGTCTCAGACCTCTGGTCAGACCCATCTCTAAGTAAACTGAACCGTGGATATGTATTTTGTAGGCTCAGAGCTGTCCTTCTGAAGCTTTTGTTCCTAGCAAGCTGACAAGCAGAGGAAGCTGGAAAGTGAGTGACCACTTCCCTGCCCCCAGGTGACATGCAAGGGCCTGAGCCTCTCTTGTTGTCATCAGATTAATTGAATTCCCCAGTGAAGGCTGGGAGTTGTATTTAGTTCACAGTCCATTTGACAGTAGCTGTCTGCTTCCTTTTTCCGTTAACCACGTTTATGAAAAACAACAACAACTTTAAACTTCCTACATAAGTGCCTGTGAAGGCACTTTACAAATGTGAGCCTAACAGCTGAAAGCACAACAGAAACCTATATAAGAAATGACAGTAAATTCACTTCAATTTTAAAAATGGACCGGTAGGACAATGCTAACCTCAAGAGAAATTTGCAGCCTTCTTTGTATGAGTGGATTTCCCAATAAAAGCAACTAGGCAGTTCAATAAAACTAATTAAATTAATCTGTCATCTCCAGGGAACTTGAACAGGGCATGAAATAGGGAAACCGTGTCAATTCGGAGCTTTTTATTGATGTGTTTTGCTGGATCATTGGAAAGAATTGGTTGGGAGAAAAATATGCAATTTGCTATTGATCATAAATTCTGTGGCCATCCCTATGTARTCTTCATTCAATATAGTATAAAATCAAATATTATACAGATCCCCTAAATGAAGACAAACAGATGTAGGGATGCAGAAAATAGGTTATTTTTAAAATAATGACAGGGAATCTGTTTTGTGGATATTTTTTTTTGTCCTTAGATCTCAGTGGTATTTGCTGTGTAAAGTACTTAATCTCTATTTTATGGACAGAAAAGACTGAGGCATGAGGAGAGGAGAGGGCCGCTGTGAGAAGTTGGCCCAGCAGCTCGCTGGCAGCAGCAAAGGACAGAGGCACCTCCGTGTCCCAGAGTGTTGGCAGTCCTCGAGCCCCCGCAGCAACTGTCGGTTCTTTTGTGCGATGCCTTTATTATTAGGCAGTTTCTAAAGATTGATTCAAATGGATAAAGATTTATTTTATTCTGTTGCATTTCCTTTTTCT